CATTGGCCATTCTACTCGAGTTGACGCATACGATCCGATATTGCGAGGTGAAGATTGTGCAAAATGCGGAAACGATTTTGAAATCGACCAGCTTTTTGGATTGCAATCGTGACACGCTCGATAAGATCATTCAGTTGGTGACATCGAAGTGCACTGCGCCGATGATTGTTGATGCGTACATGGCCTGGGCCAAAACTGCATGTGGAAGAAAAAATTTGGAAGAAACCGCAACCAATCTCAAGGCACAGCTAGGACAATCATTTGCTAACATCCCATTTGCTGAGATGAGCATGGAACAATTGAAGCGGTTCATGGATACCTACAATGGTCTTTTGAACGATTCGGACCAATCGGCAATTTTTCGGAAGATTATAGAACTAAAAAGTGCCGAATGGGAACGCGCCGAAAGGGAACGCGTCGAGAGGGAACGCGTCGAAAGGAAACGCGTCGAAAGGGGACGCGCCGAAAGGGAATGCGCCGAAAGGGATCGCGCCGGAATGGTACGTGCCATAAGGGAACGCACCGAAAGGGTACGTGCCCAAAGGGAACGATGGCTTTGATGTGTTCCAGTGATCCTACGAATGTAACACTCAAAATTAGCCACTATCAAAATGGTTCGAGACCATTCAAACGACAATAATGAAAAAAATGCTATCATCAATTACGCTTTTACTCAATTGACATGAGTCTAACATAACATAGAATAGGTTGATTACAATCTTCTCAACTAAATATTCAAAATATGTCAAAAGTGTTCATTCATCAAATAAATTCCACATTTCTCTCATTGCATGTGTTTATTTATTTCATCTGTTCTAAATCGATGTACGAATTAATAGCTTTTTTTCATTAGGAAATGGTAATTAATTGTAAATAAAGACAGTATACGCAATTTGATTGCAGAATGACCGATGAACTTCATTAAGCACCTTTAATATCATATGATTTTATTTGGACATGAATATTTCAATGAGATTGAGATAAAAAAAAATCTGATTTATACATTTTAAGTTGTTTTCAGTAGAATTTACAACTCTTCAATTTCTTTTACGGTTTATAACTGGTTGAAAAGAAATTAACTTCAAACGAATTTTTTATACATCAAAAAACTTACGAGTAAAAAAAATGTCTCTCAAATGTGTGAGTGAACGAAAAAATTTAAAGAGAAATTAACATCAACAATGTTGTAATTGAATTTTAAATAGTTAGAAATGTTGTGACTACTGTATAACTACGTCATGGCTGAAACAGAACAAAGACTAAAAAAAATGTAGGCTAAAATTGATGTCGTTGTTAATTTGCAATGTGTTTGCCGAGTTGAAGTCCAAAAATGACGCCTCTTTTCTTGCCATCTTTCACCACATCATTGCGAAATGTTCCTAATAATTTCGGTTCATTGTGCCGTTCGATGATCAAATCGGTATTTTTGAAGCAGATCAATGAGCAACACTTGAATTTCATGTTCAAGTCCAGCTGAACTGTATATTTGACGCCGTTTCTAATGATGACTGGCCGTGTAAACGAAATGACTGTATTTTTGCCAGCGATGAGTTTAATATTTTCATCAATGTAGACAATTGACGACACCTCTTGCGTACTCAACCGTCCTCGCGTCTCGATGACAGTCAATTTACCGGTGAGATCTTCACTCAAACTCTGTGGCCAATTTTGTAATCGAAGCATTTCGACACAGTAGATTCCTCTCAATAGCAACGTTGTGTTGACGTAGAATGTGGTTGAAATCGGTTCATCAATATCATGTATCAGTTCACTTGCCTCATCAAATTCTCGTTTGCATCGGACTATCGGGAGAGTTGTATCCCAAGAGTACTGTCGGCGCTTTTCATTGAAGTATATTGATTCGTATTTCTTCGATATGATCGTTTGGGTGATATCAAGGTATTCATCGGACGAGAAAAGTGTTTTGTATGCCGCGTTAATTGCGTTGAATTTATTCACTGCCATCGTGCCAAAGCGAATATCGTATAGTGAATCGCTGAGCTGCGTACGAATCAATTCCGTGGTCAATGTATCTTGTTTGGTTGCGGCTCGAACCCATGCCATACATGCATCAAAGACATCAGCCTCCGAACATGACATCGAATTAAGTTCCAGAATATGGCCCAATGTTTGTCGTTGACACTCCAAGAAACTGGACGAATTGAAGACTTCTTTGGTGTTGACCGCAATGTTCATTTCACACATTTCCATCAGTCTTGATCGATTGAAGAGGATAGCAAGCTCGTAGGCTGTGCAAACGTTCTCATTGGTCATGTTGTACTCAAGAAATCGGCTGCAAGCATTCAAACACTCGGCTACATCGTATTTTTGCCCCATGTTCATAACGTGACCAATGTTTTCAGTCGTCAGTTCCACTTCGTCGTAATAGAAAAACTGGAGAAATTCCACAAACGCCGATGGTGAAGTGTCAACAATGAGGACATCATGTTTTTCTTTCCATGACCCATTGAACATCACTCGAAACACTTCACTCGTTGCGATCAACAGGTTTCTATGGGTTGGAATTCGATGCGATGGACCGTTATTTGGCTTGAATACAAAGTGCACATCGGCCATCTCCTCACTCAAGTATAGACTTTTTATGGCTTTGGCTAGACTCGAATTGCTGTACTTTCTGTAGGCCATCGCATTGATTTGAAATGATGCTTTGCCTCAAATTTAGAAAAGAATTGAATTAGCTCGCTGTTGTAATCAGAAATGAAATTAGACTTTTGATAAAGGAAAATGTACAACAAACTCTGATAGGTCAATAAGTCCTACCTCAAAATTCGTCGATTATGCTGTTCGAAACTGTTGCGATTGGTACCGATCACATATAGAAAACCAAACAATGAAAATATGAAGAATCATACGCAGCTTTACTCTTCCACAAGTCAGGCAATATGCAACTTTTGAACAAAATTCCAAATTTTGAAATCCTGACCTATGAAGAAAAGAAGAATTGAAGAATTGATTTGATCAATGTAGCGATAATTCATTTAGATACAAAAGATTGTTCAGGTAATCAGCCATGTCTGCTGTAGATATTCAGAAATGTGATATTAAAAAAAATCCCAATTCTAATTTTTGTGACAAAAATTTCCTTCGTAAGAAAGAAAGAATCTCTATTACTTTATTTCACCTTGCGGAAAAATCCAAATGAAATAGGAAGACAGTAACTTTTGAATCAAGTCCACCTGAACGAATGAATTTCGAATTAAAGTAAAATTTCTTTATAAATTTAATATTTTTCACAGTGTGCTTTGGTTATGTGTACTTGTGCTCGTACAGCGATAATTTGTGACTACGAAATTGGTTAACTTTTCAATTCTATGGGCGCTGCCATATTGGAAATTTACGTGCGATATGATGCACGCACTCAATAGTTCCACTTATTTTAATAAGGAATCTCTATAGGTGGCGCTGCCACATCGTCATTGACATCGAGTCAAATATTGTCAAATATAATAACATTGTTCATATAGGCTTTTATCGCAGTACGCTTGTGCTGACTCATTCGCTATGAAACACGCCTTTCGTCCACTGTTCATATGTCATCACGGGTGAGTGCGTTCAATATCCATACTTTTGTTTTGATAAAGAACTCTCTAATATTATCCCATTTTTGAAGGACTGATGCACCAAATCTCAATTTTTTTTCATAACAACATAACGATTGCGATTAAAAATTCATGAAACGACTTTACCTATTTGAGCTGTATTCATATGAAAGATTTGAATGTCCAGTCCATCTAATAATTTACATCAGTTTGTACCAAAAGATTGAATAGAAAAAAATACAAAATTTAAAAAGATTATAACATTATCGAATATCATATAATTCAAAAGAAAAAAATTATTTCGCTATAAAATACATAGGTGACACAAATGTCATTAAACAAAGTCTAAATGCTATTTATCCAATCCACAGTCAGTTTAATTTATTTTGTTTTATATGCTTCCTATGTTTGTTTCAAATATCTCACAAGATTCAGGAGCGTCTATTCAAAATCAGCACATTTAGAGCTCATTTTGATGTGACTCCGATGTATTTACGTAGAGAGTGGAATGGTTTGCATATGACGAAAAATCTTTTCGAAACATTTGCTGGATAAGGAGCGCCACCAACTGAAGAATGTACATGTAAGCTAACGATTTTTACGGACGAAGTACTTGCTTAAAAAGTACAATTGGTCAATTGGCAGCTATGGCTTAGTGTCAATAAAACGCATCGATTACTCACTTTATAATGAAAAATAGTGTTGAATTTATTATTTATTTCCAAATGTTCGTTGCATTTGACATAACTCAATTACAACCACAAAAAATACACCAATAAAGTAATTGATTTAAATTTAGTTTATTCTGAAAAAAGGCAATGTTTTTGATAAAATAGTTAAATTTTATTAGGGAAACATTATGGAATTAATCTCTTTATTTATTTATTGTTCTTGGTTTTTTATTCTTCCGAAAGTTATTTTAAGTCATTAAAGTAAATGGTTAAATACTAGGAATTGTTGACATTTTTGTGAAAGCGAAATTTGGGTTAACATGATTTAGTTCTGAATTTCTTAACTTTATTAAGGCTTGATGATCAAATCTGATTACTTGAAAAACAAACTAATGGAAAGGAATATGTCTTGAAATTGAAAAAGAAACCTCGTTAAATATCGCTGAATCTGAGCTCCCAAACCAGTCCATGATTTTCATTTTCTCTCGAATAAGGATCTCTGTCGAACTTCACGATGATGTCAGGCTTGATTTTTACTTCATGGGATATAAAGAAAGCGGTTACACCATTACCACTATTTTCATTTTTTTCAAAACGAATTTCATACTTGAAACCACGTCTTATGGTGAGCGGCTTTGGCAATAGTATGGTAACGTGTTCATAACTTAGCAATTCAACGTTTTCATTGACATATAGTACGCGAGCTTCTTTTTCATCAGTGTTCAGAGGATCGATTTCAAGCACAGTAAGTTCGCCTGTAAAATTGTCTTCTAGTTCGTAGGGTTCTTCCATGGGAAAAACATGTGCGTATACCTCGCAGAAAACTATCGCTTTCAGCAGCAGAGTTTTGTTGGTTGAAAATTTTGCGGTTTCGATGTGTTCAATGTCATGGCCTTCTGGCGTTACATCCGCTTCTAGATTGCATTTAAGCTCATCCGACTTTTCCAATGGGCTCACACGACGAGTTCCATTGAACGATTTCCATTGCGTTTTCTTCGATTTGATCAGTTTTGTGATGCCCTGTTGCTCTTTGTCGGTAAATAAACATCCATGTGCTGTGCAAATGGCGTTGAACTCTTGCATTGTCATCGATCCGAAGCGAATATCGTAGAACAAATTTCCGAGATGATTTTGAACCAACACTTTGCTTATTTCATCATGTTCGCTGGTGGTCTTGACCCACTCCACGCATGCGTTGAACACAGTGGTTTCTGAGCAGGATATTGCATCGAGACGTATAATTTCAGAGAGTGTCTCTCGGTCATATTCGAGGAAACCGCTTGACTTGAGGACGTTTTCCGTGTTGAGACTAATGAATATCTCACATTCCGTCTTCAGTTCTTCGTGCCCGTAGAATATCGCGAGTGCATAGATCCTACAGGCATTGTCGGCGGTGAGACTATGTTCCAAGAGTGTTGCGCAATCATTGAAACACGCACCAATATCGTACTGGTGACTGAGGCTCATGACAGCTTCCACATTCTCCATGGACAGTTCAACTTCGCTCAAGTAGAAATACTGTAAGAACATTTTGAAATCGGCGGCAAACACATCCGGGATCGGCACTTCGTCTTTCTCTTTCCACTGCCCATTGAACATTGCTCGGAAGACTTTGCTTGCGGCAATCAAGAGAGTCTTGTGAGCAGGAATACGATCGGTTTGTCCATTGGATTCGAATACGAAATGCACATCAGCCGTCTCCTCATCCAAATATAAGGTTTTAACACCTGATTCCACAGTCCTACTGGTGAATATAACTTTTGACATCGTGGCGATGTGATTCTCGGCCTTTGTGTATTGTCAAAACAAGTTGGGATGATTTTGGATGTGTTTATCTATGGAAACAGTAAACAAAAGTGTTGAATCAAATCTGTTCGAATTTCAATGTGTAACTTTCTTCTCTTAGCAGATATTTACTAAATTAAAGGGAAGCTTAGACGAAGAAATAGAAGCGTTTGTTAAAGTCAAAGCCAAAAATAAATTCAATTGTCTTACCTTAGAACGTGACTTGTGGAATAGCACAATTTCGATTTGAGGTTAGGAAAAGTTCACATGGGAATCCTGAAAAAATTCTGGAAAAATATTATACAAGCAAATTATCAAGTTATCAATCTTTGATTTGGAATCTCCAAATTGGAAATAATTTTTAGTGTTTCGAGAGGTGATGATTCAATGAAGGAAATAAAATGTTGCACTTTTTCTAGTTTTGTTTGCGTTACTTTCGATTTGTGAAAGTATAACTTTTTTCTTCCGTCGAAATTTTCGGCCCAAAAACAATGATCACTGATCAGCAATAGTGTAGATTGCGTTATTTAATCGGAATTATTCATGTAAAAAGCTTCTAGGTAGATGATTTTCTGAAAAAAGAGATTTTTATTTGTTTTTCTCTGGCTACAACGCAAAAATGTTCAGACTGAGTTAGATTCTATGAATGATGTCATTTGCCTACCGTATTCACACACGTCAATTTTTGTGAGTGCGTTCAATGTATCATCTGTTGATGAATTTTCTATTGTTTGCTTCAACATATTTGAATTTCATAAAAAGTATCACATTTTGTGCATTCGAAACAATTTTATTGTCTCGACGATATGATACTGTCCATCGTCAGTTCAACTTTTTTGTGGCTGAAAAACTGAAGATAACCGTAAAATTACCCAGCAAATTAAAGTATATCTTCCACAATCATCCTTAGTAGTACAGAGTCAATGATTTTTTTCTTCAAATGAAATGGCCCCAAGAGTTTATTGCCTTCTTATTCGTTTCTTTATTATTTATATTTTTCGATTCTGACAAAATATTTCGAGAATAATGACATCAGATGAAAAACCTCTAGACGAGGTTAAAATGGAGTGACGCTCCTGTGCGTGGATTTACCACTCAAAATGACTGATATCATTTTGAGTGACGCTTTGACGCTGTATTATCTCTGGGTACGAAGTTCAAAGGTGTTTTTCGCATTCACTTTTGTGAAAATTTATTTACAATAAGGAGAAATCAAACTGTGCTTTTGACCGGCGCAAGATAGCGGTGGCGCCTATTCGCAATTTGCGGAATTTTTAAGAACTATCAATACTTGTTGTTGTTGTCATGAATTTCGCAACAACAAGAAGTATTGATAGTCTCTTAAGTTGCCGCAGATCCTATTTAGGCGCTATCGCTATTCACTGTCACGTCAAATACATTCGTTCTTATGGGAGAGAAGCACAGGTTGGGAGAAATATCTTGCGTCACGACTTCTGAATTTAGTCTCCAAGTCAAGCTTTAAAGCGTTTTGCCGTCCAAAAGTCGTGACGCAAGATATTTCTCCTTATTGTAAATAAATTTTCACAAAAGTGAATGCGAAAAGCACTTTTGAACTTCGTACCCAGTGATAATACAGCGTCCTAGCGTCACTCAAAATGATATCAGTCATTTTGAGTGGTAAATCCAGGCACAGGAGCGTCACTCCATTTTAACCTCGTCTAGAGGTTTTTCATCTGATATCACTTATTTTGTAAGGCATTTTTTATTTGGAAAAATACATTTTTAGCAGAAGTGTCTGAGTAACACATTGGCATTCTAATTTCACAAGTTCTGGAGATTGCACTACCATCTAATTTCCACTACCATTGAAAAACTCCCATTCTCCTCTAATTGCACATTATAAAATGTGGTTAAATATGATTAAATTTCAAAATATCCATAGAAAGATCGTTGAATTGTAGACCCCCATTACTTCATTGAAACATATTAATTTCCAAAAACAAAGCAACAACGAATGCATTTTTATGCATCCCCCGAACAAAAATTCAATTTCAAACATTCAGCTGCAAAAAATGCTGATTTATGACCAAAATGACAACGAAGTGGGTATTTTGGTGTTGATAGACTCCCATTATTTTTACAAAAAAATAGCAGTTTTCTAAGACCAAAATGACATCAGAGGTGTATTTCACGTGTTTTCCGAACAAAAATGTCATTTTCAGTGAAAATAGAGCAAGTTGAAAAATTCACTTAAATCCGACCTATTTTTCGACCATGAAATAGCCTCAGATCGCATTGTAACCACTTTTAATCGATTGCTCGTCGAGAATTGAGCGGATATGGCCTTTCGTGAGCCTTTCCAGCCAGTCAATGCGTGTTTTCGACAGCAATATCATCGTAGAATGCGACTCTTCGTACAAATTCCGTTCATTGATGACTTGCCTATGCCCAGAAATTCGAAATACGAATTTTCCCGGATATATGGCATATGCTATTTTGTTGGTATGATGGCCGGCTATAAACGCAAGTGATCTAGTTACCGTTTATGACATATATACTTCACTTTCATTTTAAAACCTCGTATACATCTTTTTTCCCTTCATTTCACATCGATTCATTGCAAAAAATAAAGTTCAATGCCGATAACTCGTTCCATGCCAGAGCAGCAGAAAAGAAACATGTAAGTTGCATTTTTTTTCATGTGAAAAGTGTTGTTGACAATTGAGCAAGACAGAGACAAAAGAAAAACACTCGAGAATCAAAGAAAAGTGAAAAAAAAACCAAAAAGTTCAATTAATTGTGTAATCTGGCAATAGCTTCTATCGTCAGTCTATTGTGTTCAAAGTAGCAAGTTCATTTATGTGAATACATTCGTTTGAGAAAAATTGAAAATCTTGAATGTAATTCCTTACATTTTTTCATTTTTAGTACCGAATTTTAGAAAGATCTCCAATTTTAATAACCAACTGTACGGATTCAAACCCAATGTTGGAGTTTATGACAATAAAATTGAAGAAAAATCGTTCTAAATTACAAGCTGATCAACCACAAGAACTGAATCAGCCTTTGGATCAACAACTACAAACTTTGAGAAGAATGTTTACCACCAATTTTCGTTTTCTTACTAAAGAATCGTTCAAATGGATTTATTAACTCATAAGTTTCTCAGGTGGTGTTTATTCGTTATACCAAATGTATAATAACATGTTAGCAAAAGAGGAAATGATCTTCATTCACCTTGGATCGTTATTTCCACCTAATTGTACCAAAAAAAAATTATAACAAGAATTCCATGTAAAATTGGACCATGAACTATACGCGTAAAACCACTTGAAAAAACCACTAGATAAAAACAAAACCAGGAAAACACCAACATTTAAAAAAAA